CCAGCCTGAGCAAGAGCGAGACCCTGTCTCTACTATAAATAGAAAGAAATTAGCCAAACAACTAAAAATAGAAAAAATTAGCTGGGCACGGTGGCGCGTGCCTGCAGTCCCAGCTACTTGGGAGGCTGAGGCAGGAGGATTGCCTGAGCTCAGGAGTTTGAGGTTGCTGTGAGCTAGGCTGATGCCACAGCACTCTAGCCCGGGCAACAGAGCCAGACTGTCTCCAAAAAAAAAAAATCCTGAAAATACTTCCAATTATAAAAAGTTTCAGAGTTTAGTAACCACCATCACCAAAGCACTTTTACTCCCTTTAATGACCTTGGATCTCAGACAATCATTTTGCTCTGTGAGTTGCAACTCACTGGGTTACACCACGAGTGTGAACTGTTCCAATAAAAGGAGTGGAAGTAGGCTAGTTTAGGTCCTTTCAAGAGCAGCTGTAGCAGCATGTACTTGTTAAAAATGTAAGGGAAACTGCTTGTTTAAGCAAACCCAGAAGGAGCTCAACTGAGAATACTCATGATGAAATACACATTGTTGGACTCACCGTGTCCTTGACAGCCATGAAGCAGTGACAGATCCAGCGCCGAGTAGTGCCATCACGACATATGTAAGAGAAGGCTCTATCAAAGTTCCTATCTGGAGCACAGAAAGAAACTTTCTCTATTGTCTGGTCAACTATGAGGTCCTAGAAAATGGGAAGCACAAAGAGTGGACTTATGAGGTTATTCAAGCTTCTCAGAATAAACACAGGATGATCATTTCATAATACAGAATCCCTACATCTGATGCAACTAGCTATGGAATAGCTAGATCTGTGTCCATTACTGAGAATTTTACCTAGGGGACATCCCAAGAGGCATTTTGCCCAGATGCTTCCCTTATCTCATCTGTGTGTTTTAAAGTATATGCTTGTTGATTCTAGTTTTAGATCTCTTTCATGGTAGATTCTGTGTTCAATTTGGCAATATATGTAAATCAATACATTTATTCCTTTTGGTTTATTTGCAAATGTAGGCAAATGCATGATAGTCATGTTTTAACCTCTTATGCAAATTAGCACTATATATACATACATATATATGTATTTTTCTGTCCCTTCCTTTCTTTCAACTAACAATATACCCTATCCAGTGAATTTTATATTTCAGATACTGCATTTTTTTAGGTGTGGAATTTCCATTTGGTACTTTTTTACAGTTTCTATTCTCGGCTGAGATTTTCTATCTCTTCATTCAATGAGCATATTTTCCTTTACATCACTGAGTATAGTTATAATACCTGTTTTAAAATCTTTGTGTGCTAATTCCAACATCTGGGTCATCTCGAGTTTGGGTCCCTCTTGACTGTCATTTCTGATGACAATGAGTCAGACTTTTCTGTTTCTTTGTATGCTGAGTAATTGCATTGCATTGTAGACATTGTGAATGTTATATGTAGAGAGTCTGGATTCTATTACATTCCTTGGAAGTGTTATGTTTTTGGTTTTAGCAGGTAGTTAATTCAATTATACTCAAATGGAAAATTCTATCTTCTGGGCAGCAGCTCAAATATCAGTTTTTATATTATTAGTTGGGTCATTTGGAGTCTGCCTTGTACTTGCATGGTTAAGGGGTCAGAGATTTGGGCAGAATTTATATACAGAATTTAGGGCTCCCCCTCTTTGGCTCTCTCATCTCCAGGATTCTCCTTTCACTTTTGAGTGGCTATTGTTATCTCAAATTCTGTCTGTGGTTTTTCAGAGCAAAAAGACTAAGATTTTCCCACTGAAGTTTTAGCTACCCTAAATGGTACAGACTAGGGCCTGCCCTTAGTCTAGAAGCTGTGAAATAATAAATCACTCAGTGCAATTTCCTTCTTCCAAGTGTCAACTTCCCTCCAGAATCTGCCTTCTTTGGGTTATTTTCTTGTACCTTCTTAAATAAGTGGGTTGTTTTGTTCAGAGTATATAGTTGTTTGCAGGAGGGTCAGTACAATAGGAGCTTAATTCAGCCATTGCCAGAAGTGAAACATACTGAAGGCACTTTTTAAAAATTGCTTTTAATTTTTTTCTCCTTTGCAATATAAATATCATTTCCTTTCACATTTCCATCTACAATTCCATTAATTTTTTCCCTTTTCTAAGAAACCATCCAAGAGTTACTATACTATTAAGTAGGAACACTATCAGAACCAAGGTAGACATGGGTGGGGAGATGGGACAGCAAGGCAATTTGACATAGCTTCTTGCTCAAAGGTTAAGGACTTCAAATTTTGGCTTTTGTTCCATAATAAATTTTTGCAGAAGATCGCTGCATGGTCTTATCACAAACACTGATTCCAACACTGTATTAGTCCCTGCTTATAGCTAAATATAAAGGTGGGAAGAGGGGTCCAATGATGACAAGCCACCAACTATTATTATTCAGTGTGGAAATAATTAATGAATGCCAGTTCTGTAAGTAGCTACCAGGGGACAACATCACTTTCTAACTTTTGTAAACAACAATTAAATAAATACATAGCCTCCAGGTACCACAAATTTCATCCAAACACTAAAGAAAACTACCGAAGTTCCTAAAAATAAGCTAATTAAAATTGTCACTGTTTCGAACAGTAATGAACTATTATTTAAGACTATGGCTTCCCTAGAACTTAAAAAAAGCCTTTAATGGAAGGTCAAAGGACTAAAATTCAGCTATATTTAATCACTTAAAATTTATCAGGCAAGTTGGAACTGGAGACCATTATCCTAAGTGAAGTATCTCAGGAATGGAAAAACAAACACCACATGTACTCTCTAATAATTGAGAGCTAATAGATGGGCACACACATGCACAAAGAGATGTAAAGTTCATTTGAAATGAAGACAGGAGGAGGAGGGCAGGAGCAAAAACATACTTATCAGGTATAATAAACACTATTTGGGTGACGGGTACACTAAAAGCCTCAACTTAAGCATTCTAAAAGGTATCCATGTAACAAAAACATTTGTACCCCCTTAATATTATTCTGAAATTTAAAAAAAATTTATCAAGTAAGTTGCCTATCAAAACTGCTTTTTAAGGCCGGGCGCGGTGGCTCACGCCTATAATCCTAGCACTCTGGGAAGCCGAGGCAGGCAGATTGCTTGAGCTCAGGAGTTCGAGACCAGCCTGAGCAAGAGCAAGACCCCGTCTCTACTAAAAATAGAAAGAAATTAGCCAAACAACTAAAAATAGAAAAAATTAGCTGGGCACGGTGGCGCGTGCCTGCAGTCCCAGCTACCTGGGAGTCTGAGGCAGGAGGATCGCTTGAGCTCAGGAGTTTGAGGTTGCTGTGAGTTAGGCTGACGCCACGACACTCTAGCCCAGGCAAGAGAGTGAGACTCTGTCTCCAAAAAAAAAAAAAAACCCTGCTTTTTACCTGCCAGACTTTCTCCCCTTCCAGTAACATTTGAATGTTCTTGAAAAATTATCTTCTTAAATTTTTTCCTTTTAGGTCTCGTAGTAAAGTTTAATTAATGATTAAATGTACGTACATAAACACCCTGTGCCCTTTAGGGGCAGATCTGTGCCTCTATTCTTATTTAGCCACTAAGGACCACTTTCTCTCCAATGCAAAATGCTACTTATGATTTGAGATATTGTTTGGATTCTAAGTAAATGTTAACCAAAGAGCCATTTACTATTCCCTAAGATGTCACTTAAACTGGGTTTTCCGACAAAAGGCAGGTTAATTAGTTCAAATATCACTTTCTAAAAACAGTGCTTTCCAAAAATAGTGTTTTCTTAAAAAACAAGAAGAAATTTCAGATGTGGCCCATCACCTTTTTTTT